GGAGTACAGTGGAGGCCAGTCCACAGGAAACCTTGCACAAGAAATCCAACCCTGAGACCCAAGGACATCCACTGATTTTTGGTGCGGGAACGTCACGCTTTCCACTGCAGAACCATCGGAGCCATCGAAGCCCATGGCACCCTGGAGGCAAGCAGGGTGCTTCTTGGCATGGACCTCCACTGTACAGACGCCCTAGCTTCCTGACCTGTGGGATGCTGGAACCCCTGCGCACCGAACGGTGGGGGGAACAGACGGGTGCGGACACCGCTGCTCCTCAAACCTCTGCGGGGCTGCACACTGCCCGGACGTGCCGTGGCGAGTCCAGGCGTGGCGATGAGAGAGGCAAGCAGCGGCATTGGAAATTGCACCGTGTGAGCGTTCGGCACTGGGCGGAAAGGGGGGGGAAAGGGGGGGGGGTCTGGCTCCAGACCTCTGCTCAGCGCGACGGTTTGCAAGAGTGCTGCCTCTGGGGGAGACCCCACCCGCTCGAAACAGGTGCCCCAAAAAACAACCAAGATCCACTCCATGGGGGGGAGGGGGAGGAGGGAGTTGGGGGGCCTGCGCTGATCGGCAAACCGATGAATAGAAGCACGATCGCCTTCCTGTCCCGAGATGACGTCGCCGACGGAAATCGTTCCCTGGCCGAGCGAGCGACGTCGTGTAGACGTCGAGCCCTCCCAGCTGCTCTGCCGCTCCCGCCCTCGGGGACTGCGCACCATTGAAGGGAGCACAGGGACGCACAAATAAATGTACACAAATACCAAGATCCCCACCTTTTCTCATACTTTCTGGATGTTCGTCCTCCCCCCCCCTTCCCATGTTTTCCCATAGCTTCCTCGGGGATCGACGATGAATTGCGTATGTGTGTGTGTTTATTCCCCCACTGAACCACACCACGACGAGGCACGGTCGGGGGGGGGCCGTGCTGCCGCCTCGGAGCCACTCTGTCGCGCTTCGACTGCTCCACCCTGCCGGGGGGGGGGGGCGCCACGGGTCGGCGTGGCCGCAGAAGGATCCACACGCAACCGAAGCCGACACGAGTTCGAGGGACCCGTGTGGGGCGCTACGGCGTCGACGTTTCCGTGGGTGCGTTCTGAACACAAGGTTTCGGGACGGATCTAGCGGTGGCGACGGACAGACCCCAAGGCAACCGAAAAAGGGTGAAGACGAAGCGAGGGTAGCGCCATCGGCACCTGTTCCTCCTCTGATTGTGCGTTCCACGTCGTCGGGGACGCCATGCCAGTGGTCCCAGTCGGGGGCTCCTGCTCCTCGAAATTGACCCAACTGGTGTCGCAGAACATCTGGATGGCGGGCCGCGCGTTGTTGCCGCAATCCACTGGCCCCTCCTCGTGGGCTGAGGTCCAAGTTGGCCGCCTGGTCCCCGAGTGGCAGGCTGAGGATGCACGGCGGCGAGTCACATCTGCCGAAGCCCAGGGTTGGCCTGGAAGGCTCCCCCCCTGGAAAGACAACATGTCCACCCGTGCAGACATCAGCTGGTGTTCTTGCAGCACGTGGCTGCCACGCCGGGCCCCCCCGGCCTCAATGCTCAGTGCGCGGAGGAGGAGGAGGAGGAGAAGGAGAAGGAGGAGGAGGAGGAGGAGACGGAGAAGGAGGAGGAGGAGGAGGAGGGGGGGGAGGGGGAAGGGGAGGATGAGGAGGAAGAAGAGCCATTGGCGTATCCTCCGTCGATGACACGAACCACCTCTTTCAATCATGGGCGGGGAGCGGGCGGCGGGCACACAGCCACAACGTAAGTGTGGCAACGCCTTGCAGGGCAGCGTGGAACCCTCCTTGCCCCGCGAGCTTGCCCTAGCCACCCCAGGCAGTGGTGGGACGTCATGACCGGCAGTGTGAGCTTGCGATTACGATTGCGATTGGTAGGGGGAAGGGTATGTACTTCTTACAAGAAGGCTGCTTCGTAGAAAACGCCGGCCGTCCATCTATAGGTAAGGCCCGCGTCTTCTGTGAACCAGCCTCCCTCCGAGAGGCCTTCCCCCCTTCCCCCTAACCCCCTTTTGCGCACGTCGCCGATCTGAGCCCGCACAAGGTGCTGTCTTCTCCGATGCTCCTCGGCAGGGGCGGGGGGCCGCTGCGGAACCCGGGCGGCAGCCCCGCGCATGCGGGCACCTGGGCCAGTTCGAGCCGGGCTGGAAGCTGGAGCCGGACTCCTCGGTGGGGCGGCGGGGGATCCGCTCGAGGGGGCGGCGATGAGCCGCGCACGAGTTGCGCGGCTGCACGGCGGGGTCCCGCTCCCCTGGGGGGGGGCGGCCGGCTCTCGATCCTCGAGGCCATGAGGGCAAGCGACAAACTGAGGGTCCACGATAGCGGGACGCGGAAGGACGTGCTAGGACTATGTGCTGATGTCGGGGGTGCACGTCCGACACGGACATGTAGTACCACCAGAGGACAGCAGATCGTTTCCACGAACGGCATGGCCAGAAGGCCCCCACCAAGGAGCATATACTGTAAGATGTCTGAGCCTGCGCGTCGCACTTGCGGGGCCAACGCGCACATCGCATGAATATGTCTAGGCGGTTCCGAGATATGGAGGAAACTGGCTGCGGGGCTGGGGCGGGGGGGCGTCGGCCCTGAATCGGCGGTGCATCGCCGATAGATCTGCGATAGGCCCCCGATCGCAGACCCGCACGTGCCTGGGCGGGGGGCCATCGGGCCCCTGCAGGCGATGAGTGGGCGATGGGGGGCCGATGCGCTCCCCCGCTGGGCCTGTCCCCCTCTTTGCGTTGTCCCTGACACGCGCAAATCTCCAGTCCGAACAAGCAATCCAAGGGAAACGATGGGGGCCGCGAGTTTAAACAGATCGCATCGGCGGATAACAAGGCACGCCTCGGAACAAAAATAACGACGGGATTTGTGCGGCCGCTTTTGGCCCCTCGGGGCCCTCGCCGGGCTTCCCTTGGAAATGGTCGGAACATTCGGGGACCCCGTATTGAAAAAGTTACGACATCGCATGTCTGGGATAGGCCCAGGTATCAAGCGATATGATGCTTTCAACAAATGGATTATGCCTAAATCGCAGCCCTCTGGGAGCCGTTCTCGGGCCCTGGGGGCCGTCAGGGGTGGATCTGGGGCGAAAAGAATAACCCAAGGGAAGCGGATGCCAGGGCCCGCGTTGTAAAAATGCACTCGTATACGGGAAGTTTGCCAAGCCCTGGGGCCGTCAAACATCTACTTCGGATAAACAGCCAGTCCCAGGGAGGTTGTCTCAACCTCCGGGTGTCGACGCTGCGAAAGCCGACGCTGGAGGTCTGTGTCTGGAAGGGGGAGCGATTGGGGAGGGCTGGCTCAGGAGTGGAAGCGTTGATTTGGAGTCGGCGATGCATCGCCGATATACATATATATATATATATATATATATGTACACCAATACGACCAACCGTTGGGCGATAACGAGGTTGTGGGGGGGCAGAGGGGGGGAACCAATACCTGACTCAATCGATATCACTATGGATTTCGTTCAACGGGACACCACGGGACACTTGTCGATCTCACGATCGATCTCGCTCAGCGCGAAACCACGGGACACCACGGGCAACCACGGGTTATCACGGGACTCCTCTCGATCCCCCTATCGGTATCACTATCGATGTCACTATCGATCTCACTCAACGGGACACCATAGGAGACCACGGGGCACTCTAAAGGAGGTTTGGGCGAAGGCGAGAGATAGCGAGCGTTTGTCCGCGGCCATTTGTGTTCAAGCGGCCGGCCGCCAACATATGATTAGGCCTCATCGCGAGGCACACTACTTGAAATTGAAACCGAAAACAGGTTCGCTTGACATGGCCCGTCGCTCCCGCGACGATTTCCTACTCCTGGGACGATCGTTACTACGGTATAACAGAATTGGATGTAGGCTTCGCCTTAGGCGATGCGTCTGGTTGAGCCTCCCAACCCACTTCGAACTTGGTAGCGGAGTTGGCCTATGGTGGTCAGCTCTAGCTCAATTTCGAACCATCCACGGCACTACCTGGTGGACTAATGACATGGTGGAATATCAGGGTGCAATGGGTCTGCGCGGAGGAATGTACATATCTGCGCACAACCGCAAGGACACTTGCAGTGCTAGCTCCGTTCACGCGGAGGCTTCTCACATGAGTCCTGCCTCTCTGCGCTACTACACTCCTGGAGTCCACCCTCCTACTCTAATTGGGAAGTTTGTTTGAAGACACGTTGCATGGCAACATGCGATGCAATATTGCGCAGCCTCCACCTCCAAGCAGGCTAACGACATCACATCATGCCAACAGCCACAAACATCCGACCACGACCTAAGGGGCCATTGGATTGGTATTACCATATTTGGCCTCCTATGGGTCGCTATCGGATGCGCTGTTGGGCGCATGCAGCGTGGCGGAGACGACGCGCTCACTGCCAGCCACCACTGGGGCCCTGCCTGCAACGCACCTTCCCGCGACTTCATTCGCGACGTGCACGCGCGGATCAACGTGACTACAGGCAACTTTACCCCTTGTCAGCAGGCCGCGGCATTACAGCGTGGCCTGGGAGGGCTTCCAAGGAGCAAAGCCATGAGAGCACCTTCCGCAAACAGTGACTTTGGCGTAAATACTGGCAGTCGCCACGCTGACGGCGCCACCGGCATCGCGTTCCCCCCGGGCGCGAAGTTTGAAGATCTAGAGGGGGAACGCCGACTTAATTCGGGAACGGCCCCCATCGACTTTCGCGCCCATGCGGAAGGGCGGATCGACAAGACACTAGCACGCGTCAAGATAGCGCACTTTGAGGCCGAGACCGCAGGCTTCAATACCCCCAACATCCAGATCCGAACAGCGATCTTGTTCAGAGCTCTGGGCGCCTGTACATCGCGCGCGCAGGATGCGCGAGACCCCAAGTCACCAAATGCCAAGGACCACGCAACAGTTTGATTCTCCACTAGAGCGCACGAGGTCTCACGCTCACACTGCTGAGCGACCCCTGGCAACATTGGCGGTGCATTTAGCCGCGGCCATCTCGCCGAAGCCTTTCGCAGCGACACTAGTGCAAGGCAACCTGCTAACAACGCCTGGAACGTCGGTTCACAACAAACTGGGCCACCACCTCATGAAGCCAAACAAGGTGGCCCGCCTACAGGGTCGCAAGACTCCTGGGCGCGTTATCAGGGGCCGTCGGCAACGGCGGCCCCTGCCCCAGCAACTACCCCGGCAGGCTCTGCAGGGCAACCCGCCGAATCTGAATTTGACTCCGGCACTGACGCCGACGCCTCATCAGATGAAGGGACTGGTGCACTGGACTACTCCGACATGCCTGCGCATCTTACCGGAGAGCAGCAGGCGCAGCGGATAACCCGGAGAAGCAATTAAGGAACCCCCCGGCGTTATCATTAGCACCGCGCCGTAATTAAATAATTATTTGGGGGGGTTTTCGCCGAGCGATATTATTAGAACCGCGCAAATGGAAGGAAAATAAATAATTCCAGCGCCCCGCCTCGGGTGGCATCCCAATTAGAATTGTAATGAGAATAAGAATGCGAATGCGAATAAGGAAAAGCTCCGGGACCTGTGGGACCTGTGGGACCTCACACGGGAACCACTTTGAAACTTGTGGGACCTGCGAGACCTGCGGGACTCCGTGGGACCCGTGCGATCTGGTGCACCCCCTCCTGGTGCCAGGATAACGCTTCCGGGTGCCGGGCGCGTTATCCTTTCACCGGAGAGGGGGGGGGGGGTCCTTAATCGCTTACTCGGGTTATTCCTAGGACACCAGAAACACAAGCGCCGATGGGGGCGCTTTATGAAGAAAAAAGCTCGCAAGGTACGACGCGCGGTCCGACGGGCGTTTAGGTCAAAGGGCAAGAGTAGAGGTAAGGGTAAAAAACGAACGACGCCGATTACATGGCGGAGGTATGTCGGCATCCCTGGCATCCCTTTACGGGACCACAATACGAAGAAATGTTCCTGGGGACAGGTAGAAGCCGCGCGCGCAAAGGGGCTTCGGGGTGACCCGAAGGACGCCCAGTGGAAAACCATGGAATGTGATATCTGCCATCGCACACAACACCTTCGTCGTGAATGCCCAAGGCGATGGGAGAGGCACGGGTCCGTCGATACATTTGGATCACACCGATTCGGACATTCAGCATGTCGAATGGGAGACGCTTCTCGCCGAACCCGAAGACAACCCCACTGCCGCCATGCACTTCATGGCCGCGAGGCATCTGAGCGCCAGCGTGTCCCTCGAGATATGTGCCGATGAGCTCTTCGTGGAGATCTACGTTGGCCGCGACGAGATCAACCTGGCGGACTGGTTGGGCATTCCTATCGCG